TGCTTGAGGCTTCTTAGGAAAGGGGGTCATTAATAAAATATTTGAAATTCTGGGCCAGAAGTGGTGGCTCATTCCTGTAATCTCAGCACTTTGGGAGGCTGAGGGAGGAGGATCACCTGAGGCCAGGAGTTTGAGACCAGCCTGGGCAACATAGTGAGACCCGTCTCTAAAATTTTTTTTTTTTTTTTTTTTTGAGACAGAGTCTTGCTCTGTCGCCCAGGCTGGAGTGCCGTGGCGTGATCTCGGCTGACTGCAAGCTCCACCTCCCGGGTTCACACCATTCTCCCGCCTCAGCCTCCTGAGTAGCTGGGACTACAGGTACCAGCCACAATGCCCGGCTAATTTTTTCATATGTTTAGTAGAGACAGAGCTTCACTGTGTGTTAGCCAGGATGGTCTCCATCTCCTGGCCTCGTGATCTGCCCATCTCGGCCTCCCAAAGTTCTAAATGTTTTAAAATAAAATTAGGTCGGGCGCAGTAGCTCATGCTTGTAATCCCAGCACTTTGGGAGGCCAAGGTAGGCGGATGACCTGAGGTCAGGAGTTTGAGACCAGCCTGCCCAACATGGCAAAACCCCGTCTCTGCTAAGAATACAAAAATTAGCCAGGCATGGTGGTGCACACCTGTAGTCCCAGCTAGTCCCGGCTACTTGAGAGGCTGAGGACCAAGAATTGCATGAACCCGGGAGGCAGAGATTTCAGTAAGTCAAGATTGTGTCACTGCACTCCAGCCTGGGCAACAGAGCGAGACTCTGTTTCAAAAAAAATTAATTGATTTAATTAACTCGCATAGCGACAAGCACCTGTAGTTCCAACTACTTGACAGGCTGAGGCAGGAGAATCTCTTGAGCTTAGGAGTTTGAAGCTGCAGTGGCTATCATTGCACCACTGCAGTCTAACCTGAGCAACAGAGTGAGACCTCAATTATTTAAAAAAAAAAAAAAAAACAAGAAAAAATTGAAACTCAGAACTTTGTAAAGGGATTCTAAGTACTTATTTTTTAAAAGTATTCTTGGAAATCACATTTTCTTGTAGTGTAACCTGTAAGGAACAGTGCATACATATATATAATTTATATCTTCATAATTTAGGTTTTTGGGTGGTTTTTTTTGTTTGTTTTTGTTTTTGTATTTTTTGAGACAGAGTCTCGCTGTGTCACCCAGGCTGGAGTGCAATGGTGCAGTCTCGGCTCACTGCAACCTCCACCTCCCATGTTCAAGCAATTCTCCTGCCTCAGCCCCCGAGTAGCTGGGACTATAGATGTGCACCACCACACCTGACTAATTTTTGTATTTTTAGTAGAGACGAGAGTTTCACCATGTTGGCCAGGGTGGTCTTGAACTCCTGACCTCCGGCGATCCACCCACCTTGGTCTCCCAGAGTGCTGGGATTACAGGCGTGAGCCACTTGTGCCCAGCCCATAATTTAGGTTTTTGAGGGTAAGTGTGAACACAAACTTAGAATGAACCACACTCCACTAGAATCAAAACCAAATTAAATTAAAGCACTTTTAAAGGGAACTTCCATTTTAAGTTGAACTGAACTTATCCTTTTGAATTTATTTTATTTTATTTTTTTCCGAGATGGAGTTTCGCTCTTGTTACAATCTCAGCTTGCTGCAACCTCCACCTCCTGGGTTCAAGTGATTCTCCTGCCTCAGCCTCCCAAGTAGCTGGGATTACAGGTGCTCGCCACTATGCCCCCCTACTTTTTATATTTTTAGTAGAGACGGGATTTCAGCATGTTGGCCAGGCTGGTCTTGAACTCCTGACCTCAAGTAATCCACCCACCTTGGCCTCCTACTGTGCTGGGATTACAGGCGTGAGCCACCGTGCCTGGCCCTTCTTGAATTATTGAAGTTGAACACCTGCCGGGCGTGGTGGCTCACGCCTGTGATCCCAGCACTTTGGGAGGCCAAGGCCGGTGGATCATGAGGTCAGGTGATCGAGACCATCCTGGCTAACGCAGTGAAACCCCGTCTCTACTAAACAGACAAAAAATTAGCTGGGCATGATGGTGGGTGCCTGTAGTCCCAGCTACTCTGGAGGCTGAGGCAGGAGAATGGCGTGAACTCGGGAGACGGAGCTTGTAGTGAGCCGAGATCACGCCAGCACTTCAGCCTGGGCGACAGAGCGAGACTCCGTCTCAAAAAAAAAAAAAAAAAAGAAAAAAGAAGTTGAACACAACTAGAACACGATTATATTCCCTAAATGGGGGAAAAAAGTATTCTTCAAATTGATTCAAGCAAGCATTTAATTTAATTTGGACCCATAGACAATTCACATATCTAGCTGTTTGCTCATTACTTAGTTCCAGTAAAAATGTTTCACAGCATACCAGATTGTAGGATAATACTTAGTAAAGGGTCTTTTTACTTGTCAGCAACTTGAGATGTTGCCAATAGGTAAAAATCTGATGGCGGCGGATCTGTGGCATATGTGGTCTTATGTTAGAATTTCTCTAACACTTTACCTCATTCTTTGCCCAGACAGTTATTAGTGTTAAATCCAATAGAAGGAAAATTGATTCAGCCTGTAGTTGTCCCACCATTCCTTTGAACTTGTTTGCATTGTTTGTGGATAAGCCGTATGCGTGTGACTCATAACTTGCTTGTTTTGCTTTCATGTTTTATAACACCTTTGCTGCACCAGGCGTGTTTTTCTACCCCAAGGAAGTCTAAAAATGATCAGAAGCTTTTTTTCCCTGCCCTCTAGGCACAGTAGCTTTGAGACTAACTGCAAAAGGATCTGTCCTGACTCCAGGTTGCACAATGTGAGTAGGCCTCTCGCTGACTGTGGTCCGTAGCCTGAGGGCCCTGTGAGTCACCACATCCTGGCTGTCATTTCAGGTGAACCACTGTCTACCAGAGAAGATTGTGGTATACCGTGATGGAGTGTCTGATGGCCAACTGAAGACAGTTGCCAACTATGAGATTCCTCAACTACAGAAGTGTTTTGAGGCTTTTGAGAATTATCAGCCCAAGATGGTGGTGTTTGTAGTTCAGAAGAAAATCAGTACTAATCTATACCTGGCTGCTCCTCAGCACTTTGTGACTCCTACTCCTGGAACTGTGGTAGATCATACAATAACAAGCTGTGAGTGGTAAGTGAGTAAAATATATAGTATTGGAGGAAGAATAAGTTGGAGATGTTATCACTTTCCTGAGTATTGGAATGGGGAGGTTTCCTGGAGAGGTGTGGACTAGAATCTCAGAGATGCTACCATTAAAAGAATGAAGCTTTAAAAAATATTTAAGGGCCTGGCACGGTGGCTCACACCTGTAATCCCAACACTTTGGGAGGCCGAGCCTGGTAGATCACCTGAGGTCAGGAGTTCAAGACCAGCCTGGCCAACATGGCAAAACCCTGTCTACTAAAAATACAAAAATTAACCATGTGTGATGGTGTGTGCCTGTAATCCCAGCTACTCAGGGGATAGAGACAGGAGAATCACTTGAACCCAGGAGGCAGAGGTTGCAGTAAGCTCAGATCAGGCTACTGTAATCCAGCCTGGGCAACAGAAAGAGACTCTGTCTCAAAACAAAAAAAGATTTAAAAACAAGAAAGCTTTTACCTGTTAAGTGTACAGGTAAAGTTGAGCATACATTGTTTTGCTAAGATAGTGTATGCTTAACTTCTAAAGGTAGATAAGGGAGTTTCTACCACCATTTTTTTTTTTTTTTTTTTTGGCAGGGTCTCGCTTTGTCGTCCAAGCTGGAGTGCAATGATGTAATCTCAGCTTACTGCAGCCTCAACCTCCTTAGGCCCAGGGGATCCTTCCACCTCAGCCTCCTGAGTAGCTGGGACAATAGACATATGCCCAACTAATTGTTGTATTTTTTGTAGAGATAGGGTCTTGTCGTGTTGCCCAGACTGGTCTTGAACTCCTGGGCTCAAGGAATCTGCCTGCCTCAGCCTTCCAAAGTGCCAGGATTACAGGTGTGAGTCACTGCACCCAGCCTGCTACCAGCACCACCATTCTTCAGTAGCCTCTTGAGTCAGGAGACCTGGGTTCTAATCCTGGCCTGGCCTCTGTGTCCTTGGTCTAGTCATTTGACCTCTCTGAGCCTTAGTCGAAGGAGCTAGAATGATCTCTAGGATCTTTGCCAGCTCTGTCTGGCCGAATACGACCATATCACTGATTTGTGGTTTTTCCTTCCTAGGGTGGATTTCTACCTTCTTGCCCATCATGTACGGCAGGGCTGTGGCATTCCTACGCATTATGTCTGTGTTCTCAACACTGCAAACCTGAACCCTGATCATATGCAGAGGTGGGCCCGTCAGTAACTTACTCTTTCTCTTTCTTAAATAATTCCGGCGTGCTAGCTAAGATGGATTCACTCTTCACCCTCAAATACATTTACCTCTTGACTTTCTTCTTCATATCTGTGACAATACTGGTGTCTTTTTGAGGAGTGATTAGAAATCCTGGTTTTGTATTAAAATTACTTAAAGAGCTTTAAAAAATGTTGATGCCAGGCTTCCCCCCAAATATTCTGAGGCATCTGTATTTTTTAAATCTGTTCCAGGTGATTATGATATACAGCCAGACTTGAGACCCAACGTCATTGAGTTCAGATTATGTAAATACTCCACTAGGGTACTTACCTTTCTCCAGCCTTTTCTTGTAAACAAGAAATATTTTCTCTTTGTTTTCCTATAAAAACAGGAGGCCGGTGCGGTGGCTCTTGCCTGTAATCCCAGCACTTTGGGAGGTTGAGGTGGGCGGATCACCTGAGGCCAGGAGTTTGAGACCAGCCTGACCAACATGGCAAACCCCTCACCCCCATCTCTACTAAAAATAGAAAAATTAGCCGGGCGTGGTGGCGCATGCCTGTAATCCCAGCTACTCGGGAGGCTGAGGTGGGAGAATCTCTTGAACCCGGGAGGAGGAGGTTGCAGTGAGCTGAGATTGCGCCATTGCACTCCAGCCTGGGCAACAGAGCAAGACTCCGCCTTAAAAAAAAAAAAAAAACACAGGGAAGTGCCTACATTGAGAAGATTTACCCATTTGTCTGACTTATGAATAGTGGGAATAGAAACAAGTCCACTTAAAAATAATGATTCTAAAAAGCTGCATCATGTATTCCTCTGCTCCCCAGTTTTCAAGAAGGTGTGCTCTGTGTCATATGCCTGTGGGTATTGTATTGTATTGCATGCCACAAATTGAAGGTGGAGAATGATGAGAATTATATATTCTTCTTGGCCTACAGGCTGACTTTCAAACTGTGCCACATGTACTGGAATTGGCCTGGCACCATCAGAGTTCCAGCTCCTTGCAAGTATGCCCACAAGCTAGCTTTCCTGTCAGGACATATCCTGCATCATGAACCAGCCATCCAGCTGTGCGAGAACCTGTTCTTCCTGTGACTGCGCAGCCTGGAGATGGGCTGGTGAGAAGACAGGCAGCCTCTGAACTCAGCTGTGACTATTGCAGAGTCAACGGAGACTGAAGTGGGCTTTTGTATTATTTTCCCTTTCTCCAACCCTGTAGAATAAGATTTCTTTTTTGTCTTTTAAAGCTAATATTGCCAAGAAGTAAGTTTCTAAGTAACAGCTGAAAATGGCCTTGTTGTCTATGTAGAGCAAGTTACGGTAGTACTGCCACTCTGCAGGTAGAGCAGGTGACTCTGGGGGACCATTAAGAGCCTCCAGCCAGGCGCGGTGGTTCATACCTGTAGTCCAAGCACTTTGGGAGGCCGGGGTGGGTGGATCATGAGGTCAGGAGATCGAGACCATCCTGGCCAACATGGTAAAACACCATCTCTACTAAAATACAAAAAAATTAGCCTGGCGTGGTGGTGCACGCCTGTAGTCCCAGCTACTCAGGAGGCTGAGGCAGGGGAATCCCTTGAATCCGGGAGGCGGAGGTTTCAGTGAGCTGAGATTGTGCCACTGCACTCCAGCCTGGTGACAGAGCAAGACTCTGTCTCAAAAAAAAAAAAAAAAAAAAAAGCCAACATGAGCTGCAGAAACCTGCAGAAGCAGCCATTATACTTCTAAGCTGTGCCCACCAAGTGGTTCCCATTTCTGGAGCCAGAGATTATAATTAATGAAGTCATCACATGTTTCCTAAAGAGAATAACTCAGGCAACTGGGAAAGGCAGTGGAAGGTCTGTGAAGCAAAGTTTTCAAGTAGATACTGCTATTACTGGCAGGTGTGCAAGGCGTGTAGTAAAATCTGTGGCATAGGTAGGCCCTTGCTGACTAAATCCTTTCTGGGGATTGAATTGATGATGTCCTGTGACTTGAGTTGGATTTGAAAATGGCTTCCCTTGGCCTCTTGAAAGAGTGCAGATGAAGCTTTTTCCATGGCTTTCGGTAACTTTCCAGCATACCATGTCGATTTCTTCCTCCCCCAAATATACACATGCTCTTTTGCTCTTTGTGCCTGGTCTTCAGTAATTTTTAGTTTTTTAACAGGTGGAAAAAATCTAGCAGCTAGGAAAGTTCAGATTGGGGTGGGAGTTTTTAGTGAGCTTTTCTCCCAAGTGTGTGGCCTTTATTTCTATTTATATATGTTTGTAAATGGAGTGACCCCCTTTCTCTTGCAAAATAACCTCTTCCTGGCTGTTGGCTCACTTTGCTGGAATTTTTCTGAATCCAGGTTAAGATTTCCAGAAGTCAGCTTTGGAAAACGTGACACTCCTACCAAAGTCCAGACGGTTTAGAAAGTTGTCACACACCATGGGTTTCAGTGTTTTTGGAAAGCCATTTTTTTCTGTTTTTTTCCCCCCCTCTATTTTAGAATCTTCTCCCAGTCCCTTTGGGCCTAGTTCTGTCTCATCTTGCTTTATTGGGTTTTAAGAGCCAGTCTTATTTAACCTTTTCTAATTTGTATTTATGTACTTATTTATTTTTTGGTATGATGGCAGGGAGGGGACAAAGCAGAAATACCCCTTTTATATGACAGTATGTGAGAAAAGAAACTTTAGCTTAAAAATCCTTAAAATGTGCTCACTTCAGCAGCACATATACTAAAATTGAAATGGTATAAAGAAGATTAGCATATAGAAAAAAAGAAAAAATATTTCCTTAAACCAAGAAAACCAAGAATGTTTTTAGTTTGTTGCGGTGCCCAGCAGAGGTTGAGGAGGGATGGGTGGTGTTGGTGCACTTCTGGTTTCATTTGGAGTGCGGGACATTAGGGTGAGACAAGGACCTGGAATTTAAAAACCACGGAATCAAACACTGTGAACCACTGGTCTCTGGCTAAACAGATCAGTTTTCTGATTTTCTTTGGAAGCATTTTGAATTTTTCTGTTGAAGTTAGATTTCCTAATAGTCTTTTTCTCTTAGATAATCAGAACAAATGGTTGAATACATTATAATACAAAAATTTCTTCACTTTTTATTCTTGGTTTTCTTGCCTTGTTTTTCGGTTTTAATGCCAAATAATTGGGTCATGGGGTGGGAAATAAAAACAACTTTGTATAACAATGTGTAGTTGTGTTTGAAATAATGTCATTTATTTATTATTATATTGATGTAATTATTTTCTTCAGAGAGCTGCAGCACTTCCTAGAAACACTCATTACTCTGCTTTAAGGTGCAACTCCAGTGTTAGTAGTCAGGTAATTTCATCATGAGCTGGATAAGAAGACTTATTGAAAAAGACAGTAGCCGCCTCACTTCTCGGACAGATGAGGCACTTTTACTGTGTGTGTGTGTGTGTGTGTGTGTGTGTGTGTGTGGTTTTCAGCTCTCTTTTTCCCATCAGACAATTTCTGTTACCCTAGTGAGGCACTTTTACTGTGTGTGTGTGTGTGTGTGTGTGTGTGTGTGTGGTTTTCAGCTCTCTTTTTCCCATCAGACAATTTCTGTTACCCTAGTGAGAACCAACTTGCAAGGGCAGCCTCCTCACCACTCCACTCTTTTAACGCTTGCCCTTCTTTACATATACCTCACTGTGTGTCTGTCACCATTGAAATACCTTCCCTGGGTACAAAAATCCTGTTAGAAGGAATAAGATCTGGTGTTCAGTGGCACAGTGGAGCAACTGTAGTTAACAAAAATTTATTGTACTTTCAAAATACAGGAGTGGAATTGGAATGTTCCTAACACAAAGAAATGATAAATGAGCCAGGTGCCATGGCTCAGGCCTGTAATCCCAGCACTTTGGGAGGCTGAGGTGGGTGAATCATTTGAGCTCAGGACTTCAAGACCAGCCTGGGCAACATAACAAAACCCTGACTCTACAAAACATACAAAACTTGGCCAGGTTTGGTGGTGTGTGCCTATAGTCCCAGCTACTCAGGAGACTAATGCAGGAGGATTGCTTGAACCCAGGAGACAGAGGTTGCAGTGAGTCAAGATTGTGCCACCACCCTCCAGCCTGGGTGACAGAGCAAGATTCTGTCTCAAAAAAAAAAAAAAAAGAAAAAAGATAAATGTTTGAAGTGATAGTCAGTTACCCTGATTTGATTCTTACACATCATATGCTTGTATCAGAATATCACATGTATGCCATAAATACGTACCACTACTATGTATCCAAAAATTTAAAAGTTTCAAGTACCTTCCCAAAGCACCTAGCTGCTCACTTAAGCACTGCATTTCTTTAGAATACTACAGTTTTCCTATTTATTTAGAAACTCTGTGCTTCCTGAACTCATTCTAGAAAGAACCTCATTTCTGTGCAGTAGTCTCTCATCCATGGGGAATACATTTGAATACCCCCAGCGGTTGCCTGAAACCTCAGATGGTACTGAATCCTATATATACGGTACTATGTTGTTTGAATCTGAAACTCAGGATGTCTATTAAGTGACTAATGTGTGGCATCACTGGTGTGGACATTCTGGACAGACATGATTCATGTTCCCGGGGGATGGAGTGGGACAACGTGAAGTTTCATCACACTGCTCAGAACAGTTTGCAATTTATAACATGAATTTCTGGAATTTTCCATTTAATAGTTTTGGACTTTGGCTGACCAAGGGCAACTGAAACCTCAGAAAATGAAACCATGGTAAGGAGGGACTGCTGTACGGTGTGACAGGGTCCTGTTTACTTGGGCAGCATTTTGTTGAATGGTGTGAAAAATGAAGGAATTTTAGAAATGACTGTATATTTTAAAACCTTAAAATTTGGGCCTGAAATTAATTTTTCTAGAGACTTGGGATTATTAGAGAAGACCCTGATTTTTCTTTCTGGCTCTGTGGCTAGCTGAGTTACTTAGTAACTTTTCCTGCCTAGAGTTTTCTTTTTTTCAAAAAATGAGGAACATCAAGAGCCTGAGAACAAAAGCCACAGACTGAAAGAAAATATTTGCAGAATGCACATCTGATCAAGGATTGTTATCCAAAATATCCAAAGAACTCTTTAAACTTAATAAGGAAGCTAGTCAGTTTTTTTTTTTTTAAATCGGCAGTAGACCTGTACAGACATCACCAAAGATGCACAGATGGTATATAAGCGTATGAAAAGATGCTCCACATCATATATCCATATGAAAAGATGCTCCACATCATATATCCTTAGGGAACTGCAAATTAAAACAAGGTACCCATTCCATACCTGGTAGAATAGCCAAAATCCAAAACACTAACAACGCCACATGCTGGTGAGGTTGCAGAGCCACAGGAAATGATACAGCTACTTGAGAAGAGAGTTTTCAATAAAAGTAAACAGGATTACAAAACAACATACATAATCTTATCACATGGTGCAGCAGTCATACTCCTTGGTGTTTATTTACCCAAAGGGGATGAAAACTCATGTCCACACAAAAGCCTGCACACGGACATTCATAGGAGCTGTATTCATCGTTTCCAAAACTTGGAAGCATCCAAGATGTACTTCAGTAGGTGAATGGATACACTGCACCACAACAGTGGAGTATTATTCAGCACTAAAAGGAAAGGAGCTATCAAGTCATGGAAAGACACAGAGGAACTTAAATGTATATTACTTAATTGGAAAAAGCCAATCTGGAAAGGCTATATATGACTGCAACACATGACATTGTGGAAAAGGCAAAACTGTGTAGATAGTAGAAGGATCAGCAGTTTGGCCAGGTGCAGTGGCTCACACCTGCAATCCCAGCGCTTTGGGAGGCTGAGGTGAGCAAATCTTGAGGTCAGGAGTTCGAGGCCAGCCTGGCCAACATGGTGAAACCCCATCTCAACTAAAAGTACAAAAATTAGCTGGGTGTGGTGGCGGGCACCTGTAATTCCAGCTACTCGGGAGGCTGAGGCAGGAGAATCGCTTGAGGCAGGAGGCGGAGGTTGCAGTGAGCTGAGATCACACCATTGCACTCCAGCCTGGGTGATAAGAGCAAAACTCTGTCTCAAAAAAAAAGGATCAGCAATCGTGGAGAGAGAGATGAATGGGCAGAAACAAAGGATTTTTAGGGCAGTGGAACTATTCACTGTGATGCTGTAATGGTGAATACATGTCATTATGAATCTGTATGATCCCACAGAATGTACACCAAGAGTGAACCCTGATGTAAACTATGGACTCTGGGTAATATGTCAGTGTAGGTTTATCAGCGATAACAAACTTACCAGGGAAAAAAGGAGAAGGGAGTGGGGAAGGGAGGAAGGTTAATATTTGTTACAAGAAGGAAAGGGAAGCCGAGTGGTACTAGCACAGCTCCCAGGATTCTGGTTTCATTCCAGGTAGGGCTAGGACATAACAGCCTGAGCCCCTGCGAAGTGCAGGATTGCTACAGCTGAGTCTCCTGCATGAAGAGAGCAGGAAGCTGGAAGGGGACTAGAGAACCCTGTGCCAATCATGCTGGGGCAGCCACAGGGAAATGTGTTTGACCAGGGAAATGGATACGGTGAAAAAGACATCCATGAAAAATCCCCAAGCCTGGACCACGTACGGATGTGTGTAGCCTGAATTTTTGTTACCAGCATGCTGAAGGGCTACAAGCTGAAAAATTAACATAAAGATTGGCCCAGACTTGTGAAAGCTCCAGAGCCTTGTGGACACCAATGCAGTCCATTAGATTGTCCCACAAAGAGGTATAAATAGGACCTATGGAAGAGAAGAGAGCAGAGAGAATGAGCAGGTCCAACATGTGTCTGAGAAGTTC